GCTTGTGTCGCGTAAGTTTCGTCGGTACGAAGTTACGGAAAATAAATTAATTAAAAAACGGAAACGTAACAATACTATTTATGATTTTAACTTTATACACAAGTGCCAAAATACTATAATAATAATACTTAATCAGTAAGTGAACTCAAAACGAAACTATTAAATTTATTAACTGTTTTGATATTATAATACACATATGTTAAAAATAATAGTTTTTGTTAACGCTTAATACGGTTAGTTTAAGGTTAATATGTAATGTTTTGCTCTTGCGAAGGAGATTATTATTTTATGAAAAAATAAGTTATGTCATGCAAATACTTTATTTAATATTTATTAGAAACTCATCTAGGTGGCCACGATATTGTTAGCATTGACGTCACCTGACTGTTTCGAACGGAGCATCACGGTCCTTCTATTTTGATGAGTGTATTAGGTTAACTTAGTAGGGTGTAGCTTAACAACGAAGTTTAGTTGTTTAATATAGTTTAGCAAATACTGTAATTTGCCAAGGTGTAAAATGGCAAATTTTATTGCTGTACCATTCAAGAAGACGTCAGAAGTTGACATAATCAAGCCTTTGAAAAATTTAATATCGTCCTACTATAGTACAGCCGATGAGCCAGCCGATTTCAGGGAATCGTTGAAAGAACTGAACAAGCTCCGACTAAATTCCACATGGAGAACTCTCGACAAAAATGAAAATTCACTGCAAGTAATGTGTAGATACTATGATCAGATTACAGTACTTGAAGGAAAATGTCCACCTTCAGATGTTCAGATCCCCTTTCGATGGAAAGATGCCTTTGACAAGGGATCTTTTTTTAGCGGATCTACTAGTCTTACTCTTTCAAATTTATCATACGAAAGAATTTGTATCCTCTTTAACATAGCAGCAATGCAAAGTCAGATCGCTGCAAGTCAGGGAAATGATTTGTCTAATGATGATGCTCTCAAATCTGCAGCAAAATACTTTCAACAAGCTTGTGGAATTTTCCACTATTTGAAAACAACAGTTCTTTCCAGTGTTCAGCAAGAACCTACTCCAGATATTCAACCTGATACTCTTGGAGCTCTTCAAGCGCTGATGTTAGCCCAGGCACAGGAAAGTTTTTTCCATAAAGCAACAGCTGATAATATGAAGGATGCCATAGTTGCCAAGGTGGCATCACAGTGTGAAGAGCTGTATGCTGACACCCTCAAACAGCTCCAAAAGGAATCTTTGAAACAACTTTGGGATAAAGAATGGGTTTCAAATGTTGCAGGAAAACAAGCAGCCTTCCATGCTATATCAGAATACCATCAAGCCCTTGTGTGTAGAGGTAAGAAAGAAGTTGGTGAAGAGTTGGCACGACTCCAACATGCTAATGAGCTAATGAAAGCAGCCGAAACCCGGGGAAATATAACTTTTAGTTTTGGGGATTATGCAGGGAAGATCAGTCGAGCTTACCAAGAAACAAAAAAAGATAATGATTTCATTTACCATGCTCGCATCCCCGATGTTAAGTCATTGCCTCCTATTGGTAAAGCTGCACTGGCAAAACCAACACCAATGCCTGAGAAATTAAGCTCGAAATTCCAAGACTTATTCAGTACGTTAATGCCTGTTCCTGTCACTCAAGCCATTCAGGCATTTGATGTCCGAAAAACTGAGGTTGTGAATCAAGAAATTGGAAGAATGAGAGAACAAACACAGATGATGAATGGCGTTCTTGCCTCTCTAAACCTTCCAGCTGCTATTGAAGATTCAACTGGAAATACACTACCCCAGTCACTCAAAGACAAAGCTCAGGCTGTTACTGAAGCTGGTGGAATCCAGACAATTCAGAATCTAATAATTGAACTTCCAGCCTTGTTACAGAGAAATAGGGAAATATTAGATGAAGCTGAACGAATGCTTAATGAGGAAGAAGCATCAGATAACCAATTTCGAAATCAATTTAAAGAAAAGTGGACCAGAACCCCATCAGAAAAACTTAATCAGCCATTAAAAGTCCAGGCAACAAAGTACAGGGAGATAATTGAAAATGCTGTTGAAGCTGATGCTGTTGTTAAGGACAAGTTTAGTAAGCACAAGAACAGTATTGAACTCTTGAGTCTCCCTGAATCTGAACTTTCTGCCAGACTTCCTTCTGCTAGCCCAGTTTCTTCACTAGGGAACAGCCATAGTGTTCAGAAATTAAAACAACTTATGCAGGAAGTAGAACAGATAAAAACTGAGAGAGAGACTCTTGAGAAAGATTTCCAAAGTGTCACTATAGATATGAAAACTAAATTTATGGATGCTCTGGCTCAAGATGGTGCAATAAGTGAACAGGCAATTTCTGCTGAAACGTTGGGAGAGATATTTGGGCCATTACAAAAGAGAGTTCGGGAAAACCTTGAACACCAGGAGAAAACCATGGCAGGAATCCAGCAGGCTAACACTGCATTCTGTCAGGAAAAACAAGACAACCAGAGTTCAGTAACTCGCGATACAATGATGAAAGATTTGGCTGGTGCCCATGATGCATACATGGAACTGAAGAACAACCTGAAAGAAGGCACCAAATTCTACAATGATTTAACACAATTACTAGTGAACTTCCAGAACAAGATTAATGACTTTTGTTTTGCTCGTAAGACAGAAAGAGATGAGTTGTGTAAAGAACTCCAACAGAGTATTGCCAACCAACCAACAGGCCCAGCTCCATCTTTGCCATCTCATCATTCCGGTACATCCGTTAACAAACCTGAAGAAAAGGAACGACCGTCACAGGCAACACCTCAGAATGCATCGGCACCTGCTTCACTTCCTTATCCTACTCAGAATAACATGCCACAAGCTGCATCTTTCTTGCCCTACCCTCAGTTCCCAGCTTATCCAACTTATGCAACAATTCCTATGCCAAGAGGATACAATCCTTATAGTTATACCCAACAATCTGGTATGCCTCCTGCCTATCCACCAGCTCCCACTAGTTACCCACCCTATGGTCAGTATCCAAACTATCCTCCAAATACTGGGGGTTACCCGTATCCAGGCCAGCCATGGAATCCACAGTGATTTTAGACAAATCTTGAATGTTTCAACGTCTGATCTGCGGTTAACGTAACAAAAACTCTTTTTTGCTGGTATTGTGGCCTTCAACATAAATACATAATTGGTGCTTATGAACAGTAGTTGACAAAATGTAAAATGAGTTTGTTCTATCATCAGATTTATTTAGTGTAATTAATAGTAATTTACTTGTTCGTAGCCCAAGTAGATAAAATTGTCTGTTTTGGTAATCAGTAAGTTTAATAATGAAAATAGATCACTGGGACATTTTCTTATGTTGGAGTTTAACACTAATAATGGACTGTTTCATAAGAGTGACATATTCTTGGTCCTGGTGCCAAATATGTGTTTCTTAATAATTACTTCACAAATGCTGTTGTTAAAGTTAAATAGAAATTTTATATAAATAATGACTTCACTCAGAGATGTACTAAATTCTTGTGATTTGATTTTGACTTCATTCATTAAGGACGTACTGAAGTATAATGATTCTAGATTTCTAAGCCTAGTTATAATATTAGCTGCTATTTGACATACTAAACTATAATGATTCTAGATTTCTAAGCCTAGTTATAATATTAGCTGCTATTTGACATACTAAACTATAATGATTCTAGATTTCTAAGCCTAGTTATAATATTAGCTGCTATATGACATACCAAACTATAATGATTCTAGATTTCTAAGCCTAGTTATAATATTAGCTGCTATTTGACATACTAAACTATAATGGTTTTAGACTTCTAAGCCTAGTTATAATATTAGCTGCTATATGACATACCAAACTATAATGATTCTAGATTTCTAAGCCTAGTTATAATATTAGCTGCTATTTGAC